AGGGGGGGGGGGGGAAGGAGGAGGGAGCGTACACTTGCGGACATTGGCCCGGATAGCAGCCGAGAGCTTGTCGGTGATACCCTGGCCTGTGGGCGGAGTAGCATGGTGCTCACGAGGCAGGAGCCAGACGATGGCGCCGACAAGGATGCATGCGATGACCAGTGACGTCCGCTTCACCCGGAACTTGCGCTTGACCACCACACGCCTACCCTTAAGACGGGCGGTGTCCTCGTCGTCGAGGTGGTTGAGCAGGTTATTCTGCACCTCCTCCATCCTCTCCTCCCGCAACTACCACGCGTGCAGTGTCACCTCCACTTCCCGCAAGCACGAGAAGAAAGTGACCGTGACCGTAGTGGTGCAAGCCGAGCTTGTGGCTGAACGGGAGAGGATCGGAGCAGCCAACAGATGATTGACGACTGACGGCCGACGGCGCCCGGCCACCACGCCCCTCCCCCCCCACCTACCGCAGAGCATACGCAGAGAGTGCTAGCGAACCATCTCGAGCACACTTGTCTGAGTAGTACCTGCGCACAATGGAGTGGTCGGTTCTTCTGTGGATTCTCATGGTTGTCATGGCAGCAGTCCTGCTGTTCATCATGGTGTTCTTTGTAGGTTATGCGAGGAGGTGGGGCGCGGGGGGGGGCGACCTGGCGGCGGGGAGGGACCCCTGGTGGGGAGGATGGTGGGAGGGAGGGGGGAAAAGGGAGAAGGGGGGTATATGAAGTAGTGGGTGGTGTAGGAAGAGGTAGGGGAAGGGAGGGGGGGGGGGGCTGGGGCTGGTAGGAGAGGGCAAAGGACGGCGCTGTATGGTAAGGGGGGCAAGGGAGGCAAGGCGATTTTGAGGGGGAAGAGAAAGGCGCGAGAGGGAAGACGAGGGAAGCGGCTGGAGACTAACGGATGGGGGGGGGGGGTGGCAGATCATTGAGCTGTCGGACCTGGCAAGTGACTTTGTCAGCCCTGTCGAGTGCTGCCGCAAGCTCTCGCCGATCATTCTGCCCGAGTACTTTGCGCAGCTCACCATGACTGTCCTCATGCTCATCACGCTCAACTTTACGGCGTTTATCATCAACGCACCGCTGGCGGCGTACCATGTCTACTCGTACCAGACCAAGAGCTACTGGCTTGACCCGACCGACATCTTCCCCAAGATCGACGAGAAGCGCCGCGTCTTCTTCATCAAGCTCGGCTTCTACCTCATCCTGTTTTTCTACTATCTCTACTGGTACGTATCTGCGCTGAGAGGCTGGCTGTGGGAGCGAGGGAGGGTGGTTGGGTGGGTTGGGGTGGGAGAGGGGAGAAGTGTGCATCAGGATCAGCGTCTTACTGGGGGAGTGCAGCATGATCATGTCTCTGATCTCTGACTGATGGTGATTCCGGGGTTGGGACGATGGGTGTTGCAGTCTCATCATGGGCCTCATCTACTGGGGTGGGGTTGACGATGTCTCAGTCGACGAGCTCGTGAGCACCTTCCACCAGACTGTGACCTTGCAGTGAGTCCTGAACCGTGCAGACAACCGCAATAACACCAAGCACCAGCTGCCCTCAGTCCAGGCCGCAGCTACACTGCTGTCGATGCCTGGGAGGCTGCGAAACTCGCGCAGCCCAGACCGGTGAGGATGCATGGTCGTGGACCCTGGCACGGCCAGGTCAGCTCATCGGTTCTCGGAATGCGTAAGGCGGATCGCAAGAGATGAATGGCTCCGCAAATTGCATCACGCAACCATGCATGGTATATACTGTGGGAATGGAAGAGGGGGGGAGGAGATCTGCGCCGTTTGTGAGTCTCAGGCCGTAGCCACTAGGGTCAAACTTTGCGGGCGGCATTCGATCGAGGCAGGCGCCAAAAGTGAAAATTGCTGAGGCGGACAGGCAGGCGGCGGGGCGAGGTGAGGCAACACGCCTCTCTCGACACCGGACCAAGCCGGAGAGACATACATAGACAAGATGGAGCAGTACATGAAGCTTGAGAAGATCGGGGAGGGCACGTACGGTGTGGTGTACAAGGCACGGGACCTGCTCACCAACGACTTTATCGCCCTCAAGAAGATTCGCCTCGACGCCGAGGACGAGGGTGTTCCCTCGACCGCCATCCGCGAGATTTCGCTGCTCAAGGAGCTCGAGCACCCCAACATTGTGCGGTACGCCAGATAGACTACATCCCCCTTAGCGTAGTGTACCCCCAGCAACCTTGTTTCCGGCGCTCGCCTTTGGTGTACCCCCACCACAGGGCGTTGCCCTCGCGAGAGGCTGCGCCCAAAATTTGAAATTTAGGTTTTTCGGCGCGGCCAGATGCATTTTTTGCAGCCTCGCCCGCCGCCTCGCGCGGGACATTCGGCGCCGCGCGGTGGGCGGCTCGGACGGCGGTGGTGTGTGGCTCGTCGCGCGCACTTGCGCAGACGCTACATGCACTTGTTGATGCTGGAGGGTGTGGAGAGTGTGTGTACCCTGCGCTAGGCACGTCAGGGCGGATGAGGGCCGCAAGTAGGCGCTGGCGGAAGCAATGGTGCTGCGGCAGGCGGCGGTGGTTTCTACGGGCACTCACAGCGATTGCGAGGGACAGGCTCCACGACGTGGTGCACTCGGACAAGAAGCTGTACCTTGTGTTTGAGTACCTTGACCAGGACCTCAAGAAGTACATGGACTCTGTGTCGGGCCTGCTCAAGCCCGCACTGGTCAAGAGCTACCTCCAGCAGCTGCTGGAGGGCATTGCGTTCTGCCACTCGCACCGTGTCCTCCATCGCGACCTCAAGCCGCAGAACCTCCTCATCGACCGCAACGGTGTGCTCAAGCTCGCCGACTTTGGCCTCGCACGCGCGTTCGGCATCCCGGTCCGCACCTACACCCACGAGGTGGTGACTCTCTGGTACCGTGCACCCGAGATCCTGCTTGGCTCGCGCCACTACTCGTGCCCCGTGGATGTGTGGTCGATCGGGTGCATCTTTGCTGAGATGGCGTCCAAGATCCCGCTCTTCCCGGGCGACTCGGAGATCGACAACCTCTTCCGCATCTTCAAGATCCTCGGCACTCCCAACGAGACCATCTGGCCGGGCGTCTCGGCGCTGCCGGACTTCAAGTCGTCGTTCCCCAAGTGGCAGCCGAAGAACCTCGCCTCGGTCGCCACCAACCTCGGCCCCGACGGCATTGACCTCCTCTCGCAGATGCTCGAGTACGAGCCCTCGCGCCGCATCTCGGCCAAGGCTGCTCTCTCGCACCCCTACTTTCTCGAGTAGACACCGCGACGTGAACGCTCTGTAAATCCCTTTGTACCCTCGGGCTGTATGTACCAATCTTAGCTCCCTTGGCCGCCACCTCTACGCCTGTGGCGCGCCAACCTGTTCGCGCCCACCTACCGCGCGGGTCCACGAACCCGCGCCCGCGCCTGGCACCGTTAGCAGGGCCACCCAAGGCAGACCAACTCGTCTCCACCGACAGTGATAGCCACAGGCCATGGAGCCGGCTACGCACCCTGGAGGGAGCCGCCAACCCAAGCTCATCATGACACGTACGTGCTGGGGTTGGGGGGGGGGGGGGCTGGGAGAAGGGGCGGGGGCGGGGGGGGAGGGGGAGGGAGGGGGGGCTGGGGGAGGGGAGGAGGAGGGGGAGGGGGGCGTAGAGAGGAGGGGGGCGTAGAGAGGGAGGGGGGGGGGGGGGGAGGAGGTTGCGGAAGGAGCAACGGCAACCCATGGTCATGGATGTGGAGCAGGTGAGAGGGAGTCGGTACGGCACCACAGCACGCCTTGGCGCCAAGCATCACAACCATGACAACCAAGATCACTGGCTCACATCCACTCACACCCACCCACAGACACACAGATGGCCGCATCGCTGCTGCTGCAGATGCTCCTCTACTACAGCGGACTGTTCTCGCTCATGTGGGGCATCATCACCGCCTGCATCATGGCATGGAAGGTAGGCGTGCAGCTGCCCATCGCCCCCATCTTCCCCGCCCTCCTCCCCTCTTCCCCTCTGCCCCTCTTTCCCGCCTCCCCTGCTCTTCCTTACACTCACGCCCTCGTGCCCATCGCCGCAACGCAGTGGGACAACCTCGACGACGCGCCCGTGTTCCAGTACATCACCATGGTGGTGTTTGTCATCTGGGCCGTGGTGGAGCCTCTGAGGATCTGGTTTGGCTTTGTGGGCAATCTCAAGGAAAAGGTGCCGCAGCTTGCGGCCCACTGCCTGCTCAACGTCTTTCCGCAGATTCCGGTCCTCATCTACCTGGCCGCCTTTCAGCCGTCGCTGCTGCCGTTTGAGCGTGTGGCCAACGTCATCCAGCTCTTGCTGGTCATTGTCTCGGCCGGCGTCGGCTTTGCCACCACCCGCAGCCTCGTCCGCAACCAGACGTCGCAGTTCTACCTCAACCAGTTTGAAGCCGACGGCGTCGACGGCGCAGAGCCCATGATTCCGCTCACGGCGTTTGGTACCCCGCCGCCGGCCTCCTCCGAGCCGCCTGCCCGCTCCGCCTCGGGCGCCGACCTTGTCCACTCCACATCGGCCGCATCAGTGACTTCTGCCGACACCGCTGCCGCCCGCGCCGCCGCCCGCTCTTCCGCTCGCTCCTCTGCCGTCCCGCTTGACACCCTCAACGCCCTCAACACCACTCCACCCGGCCTTCGCCGGCGCTAACTCTAGACCATCGTCTACCCACGTCCTTGTATTCTGCTGCCTGGTCCCCCGATGAACCCTCCCTCGTACCACTCGCACCACTCGCACCACTCACTCTCTCTCTCTCTCTCTTAATTGCCTATCAATCCATGTGTCCAACCCCGCTAGCCCGTCTCCCGCCTCCCCGCCCTCTCCCCGTCCGCTGGCGGTCGATGGCCAGGTTGGCGCCAGTCTGCGCCCACCACCACCACAGCCACAGCCACCACAGCCACCAACCACCACACCTGTCCATGAACGTGTTCACAGTGACATACGAGGACCAGGAGAGGCAGAAGCAGAGCAAAGACATGTCCGCAGGCGGAGTGTCGGGCCAGTACGCCCGGCAGGGATGTGGGCTGGAGGGCTGGGCGGTGGCCCATGCCGAGGGCACCGACAGGGCGGCAGCGGCATGGTTCAAGAAGGCGCGCAAAGCGTATCTCAAACTCGGCATGCCGCTGCAGTGTGCGGCGAGCGGATGCACAAACAGAGAGTATACGTCATCGCTCGGGTGGCGCAACCACATCGAGAAGCACCGCGAGGTCGCTATCGTGCCCTCGCTCGAGTCCAACCTCCTCCACGTCCACGCCATCCTCGCCGCGCGCGCCGCAGCGGCAGAGGCCCGCCCGCTCGCCTGCTTTGTCCCGGGCTGTTCCGAGCCGCCCGCTGCTGATGAACATGCGCTCGCCGCTCATGTTGTTGCCGCCCACGCCAGTGAGGAGACAAAGCGCGTGAGCAACAGGCGCGGTCGCCCGCGTAAGGATGCTACCCCGGCCAAGCCATCGTCCGACTCTGCGAGCAAGCCGATGGCGGCGGCTCAGGCCGTGGCAGCAAGTGAGGCCAGCCCGTCGCGTGGTCTCCCGCTTCATCCCACTGCGCACGCGCCACACCCTCACGTGGCCCTCGTCCGCACGGCTGCCACCGCGCCGCTCGTCCCTGTCGACGACGAGCTCATTGTGGCCGAGTGCAACAGGCTCGTCCGCAAGATGCGGGCCAAGTTTGGCGGCGTGGTCCTCACCCACTGGGCTATCTACTTTCAGAGCCGCAACGCAAGTGCACCCGGTGGCATCTTTGTCCAGGGCTTTCTCTACCAGGGCAAAGGCTGCCGCGCCAAGCGCATCACCGTCCCGCTCACCTGGAAAACTTCGGTCATCTCGGGCATCCGCTCCGACGGTGTCCTCACCACCCTTTCCGGCTCGTTGTACAAGCTCGACGGCCCGCCCAACGAGGCCGCGCTCCTCGAGTACGGCTTCGCCCCATCGACTGCCGCAGCCTTTGCCACCGGCTTCCCGCCAAACTGGAAGGCCCTACTCAAGACCGAATGGGCCCGCCGCAACGCCGCTGCCGCCCTTCCCAACTCTCCCTCGCGCATCGAGCCCTCTGTCTGCCCCCACGCTCACGCCTCAGCGGCGCTGTCGCCTCACGAGACCGGCTCGGCTCAGTCGGCCCGAGTCGCCCCGATCCCGGCCCCGCCTGTCGCTGGCCCTGGTCACAACTCGTGGACCGACGACGAGCTCGCTGCGCTAGCCGAGGCACAGCGCTCGGTCCCGCCGTCGATCCGCAATTACTGGTCCGTAGTCGCCGCCATTGTCGGAACACGGAGCGCCGAAGAGTGCCACGCCCTGGTCGTCGCCTCGCCTGTCGCGCCGCGGGCCGGAGGAGCGCCGGCCGCTGCTGCTGTCGAGGCCTCGCCCATTGCCCTCGAGCGCCTCGCCTCGGCCGACTCAGTTCAGAAGAAGCGCATGCTCCGCAAGCTTGTCGCCAAGAGCAACGCCGGGCACGCCGACGACGCGTTCGAGTCGACGCCGCTGCGAGCGGCCATGCCGCCGGTAATCGACCTCTGCGGCGAATCGCCGACGGTGACGTCGCGAGCAAGCGCAAGCGCAGAGCATGCCGCGCCCACGTCCGAGAAGGACGCATTCTATGCCGAGCTCCGTGCCGCTGAGCGCGCGGCGTCGCCGCTCTCGTCGCCCTCTTCGCGCAAGCGGCGCTCGCGCTCGACCGCCGGTGACGACACTGACTCTGATGAGACTGACGACGAGACCGCGCCATCGGCCTCGCTCCTCTCCGCCATGTCGCGGCCCAAGCAGAAGCAGCACGACAAGTACGTCCATGGCGTGGCCAAGCGGACAAAGCTCAACTCGGGCGTGGCGGGAGCGCCGCCTCCCCGCACTCTGCGGCCGGCCCGCCGCGTCAACGATCCGTCAACCCAGGAACTCGCCAAGGCCGCTCTGGCCGAGGCCAGCGCGCCAGCTGCAGAACTGGCCGATGACCCGTACTACGAGTTTTCGTCGGAGGACGAGTAAGATCTCGCTCTGAGTTTATTGCTTCGACGACAACGAGGCCTTCTCCCACGCCGTGCCAAACGAGGCAAAGACTTCCGAGGCCTGCGCCATCTTGGAGCGGACAGTGGCCGGGAAGGCACGGGCGACGCCGCTGAGGTCCAGCTCGTCGTACCGGCCCATGGCAAAGGCCATAGCCTGAGCCTTGAGCGCCGGCACCATGTTAAATGCCGCCATTCCGGCCGAGCGCGCGGCGATGACGCCAGTTGTGTCGTCGGCAAAGAGGCGCTTGAGGACGTCAAACGATGATGCGAGGAGCGTGTTGAGCCCCTTGCGCTTGCGCTCGTACTTGGCAAGCACCCGGGTGTCACCGATGTCCGCGCCCTCGGCGACCGCGTCGGCAATGGCCTTTGTCAGCGCGCTCACATCGCCGAACCCGAGGTTGGCACCCTGGCCGGCGAGCGGGTGCACTGTGTGCGCCGCGTCGCCCACAAGCACCATCCGCGGCCCGTAGTAGCTGTTCGCGAGGCCAAACGAGAGCGGCCATGACGCTACCGAGCCCTCGGCGACAGCAACAACGCCCGGCGGAACAGCTGGGGCGCCACCGGTCGTCGCACCGCCGTCGGGCGCAACAACGTTGGCGACGTAGTGGCCCAGCGGCGAGCTCTGGACCACCGAGCCGAGCGCACCCATGAGCGATGCCGCCCCGCCCTGCGCCGGCTGGGCGTGCAGCGCCGAGTGGATTTGCGCAGCCAGCGCCTCAGGTGAGAGCGAGACCCGCTCTTTGGCGGCGGCCGGCGACATCGACCACACGAGCGACGCCCGGCCCGGCGAGGTCGGCAGAAGCGCCAGAGGTCCGTCGGGAAGAAAGACCTGCCACGCAGTCTCGGTCGGCGTGTCGAGGGCGACGTCGGCGATGACACCGGACTGGTCGTAGGCGAGCGAGAAGCGCTCGATGCCAGCAGCCTTGCCGACGGCGGTGCCCGGGCCGTCCGAGCCGACAAGCAGCGCCGTTTCCAGCTCTACGCCCGAGTCGAGTGCAACGCGCACGCCATTCACCCGCTTCTCAATGTCGTCGATGCGGACGCCAGTGAGGACGTCGACGTCGCCCGCAGTGAGCAGGGCGTCGTACAGCGCAGCCTCGACGGTGGCGTTGGGCACGATGTAGCCGAGCGCCGGCGCGTTGGCATCGGAAGCGTTGAAGCTCACAGCTCCGCCGCCGACCGCGTCCCACACCCGCATGCCCAGATACGGGCGCGCCGCAGCGGCAACAGCCGTGCCGTGCCAGGCGCCGGCGCGAGCGAGGACGTCAGCCGAGGCCGGCGAGACGGCGAGGACTCGGACAGGCGATTGCGGAACGGTCTCTGCAGCAGCATCCGCAGCCTTGCGGAAGGCAGCCTCCGGACGAGCCTCAACCAGCGCCACACGCAGCCGCTGGCCTGATGGTCGGGCCACCCCTGCCACCAGCGCCGCCAGCGCCGACCCGATCAGCCCGCCGCCAGCCACCACCACGTCGTACGCCGCGGTACCCGCCTTGCCTGCACCCGAGCTCCCTTCCCGTAGCCATGTCCACCTCCCTGCCGCAGCCACTGCGCTCCGTCGTCCCGCTCCCAACATGTCGTCTGTCTTTGGAGAGAAGGGGGTGCGTGTGACCGGCCGGGGCAGGGGCAAGGGGGGGGGGGGGAGGGGGGGCGACGCGTCGTGGTTGTTCGGCCGGTGTCCGAACCTCTCCATCCAGGACACACACACACCCTCATCATACCCATCCTCCATCTATGATACCCATTCTCCATCAGGCGGGAGACCGAACCTTGTCATCCCATCGCTTTACACGTACCACACGTTACGGAAACGACGCCGGGTCTTCTTGGCAAGAGCAGAGCTCTGACCGATGGCACGGACAACAGTCTCGATGATGCGCTTGCCGACGGCGTCGTCAAAGTTGCGGTCCTTGCGGATGAGCGCAAGCGCAGCGTCGACAGCAGGTTCGAGATCGCCGCGCGAGGCGTGCGAGAGCGCAAGCGTCTTGAGCCCCTCCTCGTCGATGCTGCCGTCGGCAGCGGCAGTCTCCAGCACCTTATGCGCGTCATCCGAGATCTTCGACTCGGCACACTGGGCCTGGAGCTGGACCATGGCCCGGGTCTGCGAGAGCCACGGCTCCGCGTCGAGATGCTGCCGGCCAGAAGCCTCGGCGGCCTTGACAAACTCGGTAGCCTCCTCCAGCTTGCCACGCGTGAGCGCAACCTTGGCCAGGACAATCAGCGCCTGCGCGGAGCTCTCTTCGTGGATGGCAAGCTGCTCGCGGTGCTGTGCAGCCTTGGTCCGCTGCTGGTTAAGCGGCTCGTCCTCATTGGTCTCTGGCTTGATCGGCTTTGGCGTCTGCACTAGCTTCTCCACCGCAGCCTTGGCCAGACTCTCGAGCGCCTCGGCGGCCTCACTCGCCTTTGCCTCGGTCTTAGGCATCTCCTCTAGCTCGGCCATCACCTTCTTGCCTAGCTGAAGCAGATCGCCGACCTTGGTCGGCAGCGGCTTGGCCGCCTCACCGGTGTACAGCTGCAGCAGCGAGTCGCTGGGTTGGCCCGTGCTTGAGCTGCCGGAAGCCGGCGCCGGCATGCCAGCAGCTGCAAAGGCCGCCGTGAGAAAGTCGTCGATGGCGCTCTCGCCGTCCAGGTTCTCGGCCTGCCAATGGACCACCCCACCGTTGTGAACCGCCAGTAGCGACGGCACCGCCGGCACCCGCATCGACGCAGCCAGCTGCGCGTCCGCCACCGAATCCAACACGCCCACCACCAGCGAGTCGCCGGCAGCACCGCGCAGCGGCGTCGCCTCCATCGCCTGCACGAGCTGCGCGCACACCGGCGTCCCGCCCAGCACCGCGATCACCACAAGCTTGCCCGCAGCCTCGGGTGACTGCAGCAGCACAGGCAGGTTCTGCTGGGTGATCCGGATGAGCGGCGGCGCAGATGCCCGCCCGCCGGCCGTTCCTGGCCCACCCGCGCTCGCGCTCGCGCTCGAGCTAAACGCCCGGCGTGCTCCAACGCATCCGTTGATCATCCGCACCACTACCCTCGTCGATCCACATGCCGCCCGCGCGCTGAACGCGGTTGCTGCTGGCACATCCGTCCTCATTGCTAGAGCCGTCGCCGTCGCCGTCGCCGTCGTTGTCGACAATGTCCGGCTCGTCGTAGCCGTCCTCACTGCTCGGGATGCCAGCGCGGAGGTCACACCGGGCACCCTGGTGGTCAGGGTGCGGGAGACGGTTCGGGACAGCATGCCCAGCATGTTGCAGATGGGTGTAGGAGTGCGAGTGTAGGAGAGGTGCCACTACTGTCGCTGCCTTTCTCCCGGTGCCCCTTGAATCCGGTCTTCGTGAACGTCACAACGCGTCAGCAGGGACGGGAGAGACCCCGGCTGGCACAAAGGGGGGGGGGGGGGGGGATGACGAGCAAGAAACACAGTTTCGGAGAGAGAGAGGAGCAGGTCGGATCTGGAGCTCGTGTTCAATCGATGAGCTCCACGGAGGGTTCCAATGCGGGCGAGAGCGGGCCACCGAGGCTGGCCAGTAACTCTTCGGCGGCGGTCGAGAGCGTGTGGCTTGCGATGACAGCTTCGACATCGCTGGCATTGCCAAGGTACGTGAGGAGCGCAGCATCTAGATGCGCTAGCGCAGTGTGAGCCGGAGCAAGATCAAGCTCGGCGTCCATGGATGAAAGAAACTGGCCGGCATGCTTGTAGGTGTATCCGCTGCAGCCAGCGCCGGAAGCCTTGGTCGGCATGCTGAGCTTTTGCTTGACCCGCACGTCCGGGTTGGCAAGAAAGGCGACGATACCAGCTCGCGCGTCGAGCACGTCGTCGACATGCCCGGTCCAGGGAACGTCGGCAAGCGTCGCGATCATGGCGGCAAAGCCGGGAGCCGCCGCTGGCGGCAAGTAGCCGCGGATGGCATTGACTGCCAGTCGGACGACTAGGACCATCAGGCCCGGCCTCCGCGGCGTATCGGCAGGGAGCGAGCGAACAGCGCACGCGACCACGCCAGGCAAGCCAGTCGCTATTGCCAACCGCACCGCATCGCTCCAATCGGTTCCGTACTTGCCGTTGAACGGCACATTGTCCAGCCGAGGTGGCGGGTCGATCTCAGTCGTGGCAAAGATGCCCGGCGAGAGCTCGACGAGAACGGCGCAGAAGGCCGGCAGCCTGTCCTCCATGGCCACATCAAAGTAGCCGGCAAGCGGGGCCAGCATGAGCCACAAAATGTCGTCCGGGACAGGTACCTCCAGCTCGGCAAGCATGCGGCCCGAATCGACACAGGCGGCGGCAGCGGCAAAGTGCCACGCCGAGGCTTGGATCGGAATGGCCGAGGACCACGGTGCGCGGACGAGCTGAGTGGTAGTTACCGGCTGCGCGAGCGCTGCGAGCAGCTTGTCGCGGGAGTCAAACTTGTCCGCCAGTGCTACAAAGGCAGCAAGAGTCTTGGCATCGCGCCCGGCGACGGCGGCGCAGCCCTGGTCGAGGACCAGGTCAAAGCCGTTTGGCACAGACCGGACTGTAGTCGCCAACAGCCCAAGCGCCGCATCCGAAGGATGTAGCAGCTTTGGGAGAGTGCGGCAGGTCACGGCACCAAGTTGCTCCGACCGAAAGTCGGCACTCCACAAGCTGCTCATCTTGAGAAGATCGTGGATAAACGGGGCGGTCGACCTCGCCGTCTCATTGTCCGCAAACGGATCCGCGCCGGCCGCAACGAGCCCATGGCAGAGCTCAACAACCTCTGACGACGACAAGTGCCGCTCGCACTTGTACAGCATGTCGAGAACCTGCGGCTTGAGTGCACCGGGTTGCGGCCGCGGGCCGGTCTGCTGAAGCAGGTCGAGCAAGAGACTGATCATGGCATAAAGCTCGGGCCGCGGAGTGCAGCGAAAGGCGAACAGCAGCGCATCCGAGAACGAGATGAAGATGCGCTCCCGCACCGACTCGAGGTCAAGCGACGACAAGGCAAGCGGAAAGACAGTCTCCAGCAGCTGGATGCAGCTAACTTCGGTCACGTTGTTCGAGTCGGCAAAGATGCCGGCAGCAGCGGCGGCGTCAACGACGTCGCACTCGGGCGCCAGCTCGGCCAGAGTCAGCGCCCAAACCAGGCGCACCATCAGCCGCGAGCCCGAGACGGTGGCATGGACAAGCGCGGCTACTGGTGCGCACAGATTATCGATCCACGAGCAGCCCATGACAAGCGGTGGCGACATAACCTCAGCCTTGGCCTCGGTCAGCCTGGCACCGTGGCCAAGAACGAGCCGTAGCAGGAGGCGCGGCTCGCCGACTCGAGCGGCGGCAAGCACAGGCATCAAAACACATGGCCGGTTGACATCAGCATCGGGAGCATGGGCAAAAAGCGCGTCGAGCGTGGCGCCTGAAGAGTCGGCCTCGACAGCGCCGGTGATAATCGAGGCCTGTGCAGCCGCTACCATATTAACCACGTGTGCCTTGTGCATGCAAAGGTAGTTGACCAGCCGCAGGTCCTTGGTACGCACGCTCCGCATCAGCATCTCGTACGCAGTGGCATCGGTGAGCTGGTTCGGATCGGCTTGCAGGAGCATGTCGCACATGTCCCAGTACCGGCCCTGCAGGCCCCAGTAGAGCGCGGTGCGGCCGGCTTGGGACGGATCCGCGGCACAGTCTGCGCCGGCGGCAAGCAACTCGGCAACCATGTCTGTGTGGCCGCAGGCTGCAGCCTCGATGAGTGGCGTCCGTCCGACGTAGGCGCTGTTGAGGCCGTGGTGGGATTCGGCTTCAACCTCAAAGAGGAGGCGGAACAGGCCGAGCGACCGCCAGCGAATGGCGAGATGAAACAGCGGTGTCCCGCGCCACCCGTCGAGCGATGACGTGGTCTGTGATGTCGCAAAGTCGTCGAGATGGCTACGGTAGAGCTTCGGATCGATAAACAGGGGATGAGGGTGGAGAGCAAGGAGAAGGTAGATGGCGGTGCGCCAGTTGTTGCGGTTGTGATGGTCCGAGAGGCCAATGTCCTTGATGGCGGTGTCGCGCTCACCGACGAGGCGGGCGAGCCACTGGGACGGGTACGAGGCCTCTGACGGCGGCTTGATAATAGCCCGCGGAAAGTATCGCTTGATGTGCGGCTTCCAGAACAAAATATCATGGGCAGCGGCGCGGAGGAGGCGGCAAGTGTGGCCGGCAGCGATGCGCGACTCCCAGTCGACAAACTTCATGATCTCGCACCAGATCTCGATGGGCACGTCGGCAACAGTGAGTCCACCCTCGGGCGAGGCCCGCGGCGCAAAGATCATCATGCCATGCGAGCCGTCGACACACCACGTCGGGTTGCGTTCAGCTGCCGCCTCCACTGCGTCTTTGTAAAGGCCGATGGCGACCGGCGACTTGGTGGTTCGCACGGCCAGCAGCGGCGCCCACGCGTAGTCAATGACTGAAGCAGCAGGGGTGGTGACCAGGTAGCGACGATCGTCGATGAGCCGGCGAAAGTTGGCATCACCCTTGGTAATGACTCCAGCTGAGGCTGAGAGCTGAGCTGCTAGCTCGGGCGCGGCTGCAGCCAGGTCGGCAAACGGCAGCGGCGAGGTGAAGAACGAGTGGGCGACAACCCGGAGCCGCGGCGAATCGAGTGTCGGATCCAAAAGAGCCGCCAGCTCGGGTGCTCGCTCTGCCAGGACCTCCAGGTGGGCATTGACATCATGCGGCATGGCATCCGAGACAAAGACCGGCTCGGCCTTGGCGTAGAAGACAATGTCAGTGGCGACGCCGGCGCGGAGGAGGACGACAGCCAGGAGGAGGTCGGCAAGCAGCTCGTGGCCGCAATTGTCAAGAATGATGGCGATTGTGCCGGCGCTGGCGGCGACAGCGCGAAGCCACGCGTCGGAGTCGTCTTGCAGGAGCGCAGCGGCGTTGTCTGCGTCAGAACGGCTGGTCGACGCTGCGTCGACCGCGCCAGCCGAAAGCGAGAGATCGCCACGATTGCCCCACAGTGCCAACTGAAGATAGTGTGGAAGTGCATCGCGGGCAAGCGCCTGATCGGCACCGGTGCGGATGTCGTCGGGCATGGCCGCGAGCGCAGCATCAAGCCAGGGAAGTGCGGCAGCGAGCGATTTGGCCTTGTGCGGTGCAAACATGTCCGATCCTTTGGCAGAAGCAACGATGGCGCGCATGTGGGCATAAAAGCAGTGCTCGACGTGAAACCAAGGGAGAGAGAGCCACGTCTGGTCGCCGTCAGCATCATCTCCGTGACTAGCGCAGTAAGCCCTGCCCCAAGCACCCGGCGCAGCCTCCATCGGCACATGCCCCTCAGCAGCAGCCGTCCGTAAAGCAATGAGCCTCTTTTGCGCAGCCTTGCGGGCCGTCGCCGAGGCCTCTGGCCCGTGCCACGCCCCCTCGGCCAGCACCGAGTCGACGATGCCCGGAAGTCGGACAAGGATGGAGTGGACCACAAAGTCGTCGTCGTCGGTTCCACGCACCTGCGGAAGCTCTTCGAACAGCGGTGGCTCCACCACATGCACCAGCTCATGCCCACGCGACACAGCATTGCCATGTCGTACTTTGGAGCTTGTTTTTCCCATGCTGACCGTGAGGAGAGTGAAGAGTGACTGAGTGGGAGTGAGGGGGGAGGGAGGAAGGTCGTCGCGTGCACGTGCACACCGCAAAGGCGAGCCGGAAAGGAAGGTAGGGATAAGGGGGTTGGCAGAAGGATCATCAGCAAGGGCTTCGGCAAGGGAGGATCGACAACGAGAGCGTGGCAAAGAAGATGAAGAAAGGCGGCTTGGGTTGGCTTCCTTGAGCTCGCAGCGATGGTGACAACGGCGCGCGGCGGCGGCGTGCGTCGGGGTCTGGACAGGACGGCAGCGATGCGCGGTGTGGATGGGTCTAGAGGCAGACGGCACACAACCTGGGTTGGCCACGGGTGCCGATAGAGGGTGTGGAGGGTGGGTGATGAGGCAAAAAGGAAGATCGTGCCCTTCCATCGGGAGTTCTGGCCTTCGAAGAGCCGGGAGCGCCGCACAGAGCGGCAGCCGAGCCTTCGAGGAGCATCTCGACGAAAGACGACGATCAGGAGT